ACCTGTAATGCCAGCACTTTGGGAGGGCAAATCAGGCGGATCATTTGAGGTCAGGAGTTCGAGATCAGCCTAACCAACATGGTGAAACCCTGTCTCTACTAAAAATACAAAAATTAGCCAGGCATGGTGGTACACACCTGTAGTCCCAGCTACTCAGGAGGCTGAGGCAGGAGGATCGCTTGAACCTGGAAGATGGAGGTTGCAGTGAGCCGATATTGTGCCATTGCACTTCAGCCTGGGCAACAGAGTGAGACTCTGTCTCAAAAAAAAAAAAAAAAAAAAAGAGACTACCCACAGGGTGTCTTGGTTACCTCTTAGTGTTATGTTCATCTGGATTCTAATATCACCAGAAGATGTGACTTAATATTTACTTATGTATGCTGTCCAAAAAAGGAAAAAGCAAAACAAAACAGAATTTACTTAATATATAAGATCAGACATGGAAAGACTTATAAGAATATTTTTCACTGAGAGGTAAGAGCTCTCTCATTTTTATTTTATTTTTTTGAGATAGAGTCTTGCTCTGCTGCCCAGGCTGGAGTGCAGAGGAACAATGTCAGCTCACTGCAATCTCAGCCTCCCAGGTTCAAGTGATTCTCCTTCCTCAGCCTCCCGAGTAGCTGAGATTATAGGTGCCCATCACCACTCCTGGCTAATTTTTTTTTTTTTTGTATTTTAGAGATGGAGTTTCACAATGTTGGCCAGGCTGGTCTCAAACTCCTGACCTCAAGTGATCTGCCTGCCTCAGCCTCCCAGAGTGCTGGGACTACAGGCGTGAGGCACCATGCCCAGCCTCTATGATGCCTTCTCATCACCACGCTGGTTCATTTCCATGGCATGCTAGAGGTAGCTGGTATCTTCTCCTGAGCATGGACTGTGCATTTCTCTTCCAACTCCATGTTCAGTGACCTGCATTTTGGTAGCCCAAATTTTATTTTTATTTATTTTTGTTTTCATTCTTTTGGTAGCCTGAATTTTAGCATGTTGGGAGTATTTTCACTATGAAAATTGGCAAATGCCACAAACCAGGCACCCACCAGAGCCGGCTGTTAAACACTGACCAGCGTATATATCAGTGTTGGCTCGCTGCCCCCAGTCATTCTCCTACTGGCTTAGTTCCTTGCCTGTTGTTAGAGCAGAGTAGAAGCTGGACTGGGATACAGAATCCTCTGTGCAGCTCTTGAAAAAGTTATATAGCCTCTCTAATACCCAGCTTCCTACTTTGTAAAGTGGGGTTGATATACGCCCCCCTTGGGGTTGTGAAGATGAAATGAAATGATGTATGGTAAGCATCTAATGGTGCCTAGTGGGTACAGAGTCAATGCTCAGTAAGTGGAATCTATTAGGTCAGGTTTTTTTTTTGGCCAGTACCAATAGCCATTCATTCAACAATACATATGGAATGGCTATTTGTAAAGTGCTTTTGGTTCCACCTGTATGGTTTTATTTTATTTATTTATTTTAATTTTAGTATCAAGTATTCTGAGCTTCCCTTCACCTGTATGGTTTTTTTTAAAAAATCGTTTATTTATTTATTTATTTTTGAGACAGGGTCTCACTCTGTCACCTAGGCTGGAGGGTGGTGGCATGATCTCAGCTCACTGCAACCTCTGCCTACTGGGCTCAGGTGATCTTCCCACCTTAGCCTCCCGAGTAGCTGGGACTACAGGTACGTGCCACCATGCCTGGCTAATTTTTGTATTATTTATTTATTTCTTGAGACCGAGTCTGGAGTGTCTTGTCACCCAGGTTGGGGTGCAATGGCGCCATCTTGGCTCACTGCAACTTCCGTCTCCCAGGTTCAAGTGATTCTCCTGCCTCAGGCTTCCGAGTAGCTGGGATTGCAGGCATGCACCACCATGCCTGGCTAATTTTGGTATTTTAGTAGAGATGGGGTTTCACCATGTTGGCCAGGCTGGTCTCGAACTGCTAACCTCAAGTGATCTGCCCGCCTCGGCTTCCCAAAGCGCTGGGATTACAGGCATGGGCCACTGCACCCAGCCAATTTTTGTATTTTTTGTAGAGACAGGGTTTCACCATGTTGCCTAGGCTGGCTTCGAACTCCTGAGCTCAAGTGATCCACCCTTCTCAGCCTCCCAAAATGCTGGCATTATGGGTATGAGCTACCATGCCTGGCCTCCACCCATATGGTTTTAAATGTACAGATAAGCAAGAATGAAACACCACCCTGGAATTCTGAGTTTTCTGATCACCTATTTGATGTCATGTGGACTCTACACCTGGGCCTTTGACATAGTCTCAACTTGCCATCACTAGACAGGGTCCCCAAGTTTGGTCTTCTCTTCTGTCAGAGTACCTAGAGCACCTTCATCCTCCACCTCCCTATCTTCCTAAACACCCTCCTCATGCTTTCATTGCCTTCCCTTTCTCCTCAAACAGGCAAGCAACCTTCTTCCCAGCGCACCTCCTCTGCATTTGCTCCCATGCCTGGGATGTGGCTGTCTGAGGTTCAGAGTTATTCTCAGACCTGTGTAACAAGAATTCTAGGATGAGTCACCTGATGCCTGCTTTTTTTCATAACCTGAGGCCAAGGCAGGAAGGCCTGATTTCCCTGGCAGAGTTAATTGTCTGGCAAAATTGTCTGGCAAAAACCCCATTCCTGGTTCCCATTCCTGCCTCTGTGCCCATTCAGCATTGTGCCCAGAAGGGCATCTTCCACTTCAGTATTCCTTTAGCGTGAAAAATGGTTATCATGGGAAAAGTGCTAAATTCTAAACCCTTCAGGTTCTTTTTTTTTTTTTTTGAGACTCACTCTGTCACCCAGGCTGGAGTACAGTGGTGTGATCTCAGCTCACTGCAAACTTCGCCTCCCGGGTTCAAGTGATTCTCCTGCCTCAGCCTCCTGAGTAGCTGGGATTACAAGCACCCACTACCACGCCCAGTTAATATTTGTATTTTTAGTAGAAACAGGGTTTCACCATGTTGGCCAGGCTGGTCTCGAACTCCTGAGCTCAGGCTATCTTCCTGCCTCAGCCTCCCAAAGTGCTGGAATTATAGGTGTGAGCCACTACACCCAGCCTGAATTCTAAACCCTTCAGGTTCTTGCAAGTATCAATGATGTTGAGATTGAATTAATTTGGAATAAAGGCATTTGTTGTAAGGGAGGCTATTAACTTTCTTTCTTTCTTTCTTTCTTTCTTTCTTTCTTTCTTTCTTTCTTTCTTTTTTTCTTTTTTTTGAGATGAAGTCTGGGTCTGTTGCACAGGCCAGTGTAATGGTATGATCTTGGCTCACTGCAACTTCCACATCCTGGGTTCAAGCAATTCTCCCACCTCAGCCTCCTGAGTAGCTGGGATTGCAGGTGCCTGCCACCATGCCCAACTAATTTTTATATTTTTTAATAGAGACAGGGTTTCACTATGTTGGTCAGGCTGGTCTCGAACTCCTGGCCTCAGGTGATCCACCTCCCTTGGCCTCCCAAAGTGCTGGGATTACAGGCGTAAGCCACCATGCCTGGCCCTATTAACTTCTTTATACTCCAGTTTAAATATGAAGTGTTCACAAAACTTAAAAAGTTCCTGCTTTCTGCACACACAGGCTCCTTGTGGAATTCTTCAAAGACTTACAAGTGCATCATTGTCAACGTGATCAGTTTTTCATTACTTAAATTTCAGAGCTGTTTACAGATGTAGAAACACTCAAAATGGGTACACGTTGTTTCATGTTGGCAGCTCTTTCGCCATCAGTTTTAAAGTGGGAAAGTTGCTATGTGAGCAGCCTGAAAATGAAAAACAAGTTAAAGCTTGGCACTAGTAGAAAATAGAACATGTTGGCCAGACGTGGTGGCTCACACCAGCACTTTGGGAGGTTGAGGCAAGAGGATTCCTTGAGCTCAGGACTTCAAAACCAGCCTGGGTAACATAGCAAAACCATGTCTCTAAAAAATAAAAAAATAACAATTAAAAAAAAGAACATGTCGCTGGGCGCGGTGGCTCACGCCTGTAATCCTAGCACTTTGGGAGGCCGAGGTGGGTGGATCACCTGAGGTCAGGAGTTCAAGACCGGCCTGGCCATCATGGTGAAACCCCATCTTTAAAAAAAAAAAAAACATGTCAAACAGTATTTTCCAACTCATCTAATTAATTGAAAGACTATACCTGAAAAATGCTTTACAGAAACATTTTTGTTAAAATAATTTACCACAATTAATATACCCTAGATACCTTATATTTCCATAAAGTACTCCTAGGGATCAGTAATATTCCTCAGCTTTTTATCATAATATATTCAGCAGATAATAAAATCTCAGTTATTAGAAAATAAAGTGATGTGTTTACATAACATCCCAATATTAGAATTTACAAACATGATTTTATTTTATTTTGAGACCAAGTCTCTCTTTGTCGCCCAGGCTGGAATGCAGTGGTGCCATCTTAGCTCACTATACTCTCTGCCTCCCAAGTTCAAGCGATTTTCCTGTCTCAGCCTCTGGAGTAGCTGGGACTACAGGCACCTGCCACCATGCCTGGCTAATTTTTGTATTTTTTTAGTAGAGGTGGGGTTTTACCATGTTGGTCAGACTGGTCTCGAACTCCTGACCTCAGGTGATCCTCCCACCTCAGCCTCCCAAAGTGCTGGGATTACAGGTGTGAGCCACCACGTCTGGCTTCAAACATAATTTTAGATCAGTTTTTTTTTCAAGGTAGTCACAATTTACCACTGAGAATGAACACATATCAAGGTTAGTGGGTTTGATCATCAAGGTTAGTGGGTTTGATCATTTGAGAAATGGCAACACCATTCAATTTAAACATTTTCTGACTTTTTACTATGGAACCTGTCATGGTATAAAAATAAATTTTAGATTTTTTTAGAGCCAAAATGAAAATACTTTAGAACAAAATCAGGCCAAATCTTTGAAATTCAAAGTGGCTGAACACCTAAAAGAAACACGATATAAAACTTGCCAATTACATGTCTTCTCAGAGGTCTGGACTGAATTTCTCTCTAATAATTTGGATATTTCTTCTCTTTGCCAGTGATACAGGAACAACACCTCCAGAGAGTGGTATTTTTGGATTTATGATAAACTTCTCTGCATTTCTTGGTAAGTACACAATAATTATTATAAATAATTGAAAAGCTCACAATTCTAAGTCAAGTCAGATGTCTTATTTTTAGTTTGTGTATAATTTTTATTTTATTTTATTTTATTTATTTTTTCTGAGACAGGGTCTCTGTCGTTCAGTCTGGAGTGCAGTGGTGTGATCACAGCTCAGCACAACCTCGACCTCCTGGGCTCAGGCAATTCTCCCACCCCCAGGGTAGCTGGTACTACAGGCATACACCACCATGCCTACCTAATTTTTTGTGTTTTTTGTAGAGATGGGGTTTTGCCATGTTGCCAGGCTGGCCTTGAACTCCTAGGTTTAAGTAATCCACCCGCTTTGGCCTCTCAAAGTGCTGAAATTATAGGTGTGAGCCACTGCACATGGCCTTGTGTATAATTTTTTAAAAGCACAACCTTTGCAGCTAGATTTTTGTGCTATTTTGAGAAACTGAAGTGAAAGGATATCCAAAATTATGGCTTTATTAGAGAACTATACTTTATTTAGTATTTGTGACAGGATTTGCTGTAGGTGGTTTTAAATACCAAACTTCTGGAATGGATTTTAAGTGCAATTTGTTTTTAAAAATGTTGATTTATATTCAAGACACTTATGTAAACCAAAGACAGCCAATGCGTAAGCTAAGTTTCTCAAAGTGTAGTCTGAAGGCAACTAGATGCCACACTACTTAACCAGAACCTTTGGGAGTGTGGGTTCATGTAAATGCATTGTAAACAAGCACTCTAGGGGACTTGGATTCTCACTAAGTTTGAGAACCATTGACAAAGGCATTATCTTACCTGTTAGAGAAAGGGGAAAGGTGAAGCAAGAAATAGTATGATTTTTCTTTTCAATTCCTCAGATGCACCTGAGATGCAGTTGATAGGATACAACCTCATCATGAGCCAATTAATGTAATGCACAGTAATTACAACTATTGCACAATTAATGTAAGGCTCAGTCTTCTATAAGGTGATCCAAGTATATAGATGTTAGATGCAGGGCTTTTTCTCTTAGTCCTGCTGTAATCTACCCCCGTGGAACAATCACGTGTTTGCCAAGGGCCTATCGAGTAACCAGTGCTTTCTGTTCCTCTCTACTGGTACAGGGTGGGAAGGGACAGTGATGCTGACCCTACTTAGTGACTTGGCATCTTTAGAATTTGTTTGCTCTACTTGGTAGCGGGAAAGTTTCACCGCATCACCCATTTGTAGTCCTCCTTTTGGAGGTGAGCAAGGGGAAGTAGCAATATGGAGTCTGTCAATCCCAGTGCCCTCTTATGCCATCCTTGCCACAAATCCAGACTTGGAGAACAGAGAGATGATTTTATTGTAGCAAGTGATAAATATGGCTTTTGCTTCTGAATAAAGCAGAAGGTGACATAAATATATTCATTTAAAATAGTCTGTGTGAGCTAGGTGCAGTGGCTCATGCCTGTAATTCTAGTATTTTGGGAGGCTGAAACAGGAGGATCTATTGAGCCCAAGAGTTCAAGACCAGCCTAGGCAATGTAGTGAGATCCCATCATTGCAAAAAATTAAAAAGAAAGAGAGAAAGAAAGAAAAAGAAAGAGAGAAAGAAAGAAAAAGAAAGAAAGCAGTGAGATCCCATTTTTACAAAAAATTAAAAAGAAAGAGAGAAAGAGAGAAAGAGAAAGAAAGAAAGAAGAAAGAAAGAAAGAAGAAATAAATTAGCTGGGTGTGATGATGTGTGCCTATAGTCCCAAGTAGTCCCAATGTGTGCCTATAGCCTCAATGTAGTGAGATCCCATCTTTACAAAAAATTAAAAAGAAAGAGAGAAAGGGAGAAAGAAAAAGAAAGAAAGAAAGAGAAGAAAGAAGGAAGGAATAAATAAATTAGCTGGGTGTGGTGATGTGTGCCTATAGTCCCAACTGCTTGGGAGGGCAAGGTGGGAGGATTGCCTGAGCCCAGGAGGTCAAGGCTGCAGCAAGCCATGATTGTGCCACTATACTCCCACCAGGTGACAGAGCGAGACCTTGCTGCCAAAGAAAAAAAATGTTTATGATAAGTTGTTAGTTTTTAGCCTGCTTTTTAAAAATTCAGGCATATATTATGGCTACCATACTATGTCAGTGTATACACATCTACTTTATACTTTCCATGCATGTGTGATATCTTTGCAAGGATGTATTATGATTTATTTAATTAGTCCCCTATTGTTCAACATTTAGGCTATTTCTGGTATTTTGTAGTTACAATGTGGAAGTGAACATCTTTTAAATATATCTTTGCATATTTGTGTTTTTCTATAAATTTGCTGAGTTAAAGGGGATACATATACAAAATTATAATAACTATTCATTTATTCAACATTTACTAAGTACATACTATATGATAGGCTTTGTGCTTGTTTATGCTTAGTGTCGAGATCACAACAGCAAACAAAACAGACAAGACCCCTGCTCTCATGGAAGCTACATTTTATTGCCAAATTACAACAAATGGTATTTGGTTAATTGACTAGCTGTTTGGAAAAACATACCTTTAACTATCCTCCTCACATCATACACAAGAACCAATTGCAGTTTAATAAACATGAAAAGCAAAACTATGTGATAATTAAATTACAGGAGAATATTTTTAAACCTTGGAATAGAAACTTACACAAAACCCAGAAGCATGGACTGATATGAGTACATAAAAAATTAACACTTCTAAATGATGGAAAATACAAGAAACATTGTTAAAAGACAAATAGCAGAGCAGAAGAAAATGTGCAATATTTATAGCAGACAATAGACTAATGGACATAGTGTGTATAAAGTAACTACAAATTAGAAATAGACAAGCCCAAGAGGGGAATAAAAAGAAAATTGTAAACATGCATTTCTCAGAAGAAGAAATGCAAATGACCAGTAGATATACTGAAAATTGCTAAATCTCACTAATCATTAGGGAAATGCAAATTAAACCAACAGGTTGCATTTTTCATTTATTAGATTGAAAGTAATTAAAAAGGCAAGGGCATACAACATTGCTCTCAAATTCTGCCGGTGGGAGTCTAAATGGTTAACTGTCTTTGGAGCAATTTGGAGGTGTTTCTAAGCATTTTAATTGTGCACGTTTTTTTGACGCAGTAATATTGCTTCTAGGAACCAGTCTTTCAGAAACACCTGAAAGTGTGCCCAAAGATTTATATACAAGGATATTCATTGAATGTTGTTTGTAGCGGGGAAAATGTGGAAACAATGTAGAAATTCATTCTTAGGAGAATGATGAAATAAATATAGTGTCTCATACCATAGACCATCATGAGACCCCCGAAAACAATGAAGTAGATCTGTTTGTACTTACATGAAAATATCTCTACGTTACATTGTTAAGTAGGAAAAGCAAGTCACTGAATAATGCATGTGCTATAATAGCATCTACATGAAAAGGACAACAACCAAGATGTGTGTGTGTGTGCGCACTTGTACGTGTGTGTGTGTGTGTCCATGCTGGGGAGAGAGTAAGATGGAGTCAGGAGGGACAGGGGTGGGAAAGTGGGGAGACTTGCAATCAGCACATGTGATATGAAGCTGCTTCTGTTTTTCATTCTAAAGAAATCAAATTATGAACATTCATCAAAGTTCTCTTCTTTTTCAGGTGCAGCCACGATGTATACAAGATACAAAATAGTAGAGAAGCAGAATCAAACCTGCTATTTCAGCACTCCTGTTTTTAACTTGGTGTCTTTAGTTCTTGGATTGGTGGGATGTATTGGAATGGGCATTGTCGCTAATTTTCAGGTATAAGCTGGAGCTTTTCAGTTCTGAGGAGCGGTGGAGTGTGTGTGTCTGAGGAGAGTAGCAGGAATGCAAGAGGCACATTATGCCATTATAGCCATTAAATGCTTGAAGAGTTTACAATAAGTGGGTTAGTCCACTTTTTAGAAACAACCTTTTAACATTTGAAAGTCAGGGCCGGGCGCAGTGGCTCATGCCTGTAGTCCCAGCACTTTGGGAAGCCAAGGTAGGCGGATCCTGAGGTCAGGAGTTCAAGACCAGTCGGGCCAACATGGTGAAACCCCGTCTCTACTAAAAATACAAAATTAGCTGGGCACAGTGGCACGCACCTGTAATCCTAGCTACTCAGGAGGATGAGGCAGGAGAGTCTCTTGATCACAGGAGGTGGAGGTTGCAGTGAGCTGAGATTGCGTCATTTGCACTCCAGCCTGGGCAACAGAGCAAGACTCCATCTCAAAACAAACAAAATTTGAAAGTCAGTTCTGTACTTGGGAGAAATGGGGTGCACATTTGCATAATTATGAGACAGTGTGTGATTCAGAGGAGGCCTTGGGCTTTGCATTGCTCCATGTTCTCATGGATGTGGTTTGATGTGTTGGGGAAGCTACCTCAACTACTGTGATGATTTTGTTAAGAGTGTGAAAATATTTGCATGTGTTTACCAATTCTACCATTTAAACTTCGGTGTTCAAAGAGGAGGCTCTTGGTGACATTTCCTTATCTTTTATGACAGTATGCATTTTGTTTTTCATAACAGCAAACATTTATTGAAATTTTCCTGTGACACGTTTATTAAAATATCCCATATTTTAATTCATACAATTATTTTCCCTATTTATCCATGGTGAAACGGAGGCCCAGAAAGGTTAATAATTGCCCAAGATGAGATAAGTAATGCATGGCAGAGGTGGGTTTTTGTTTTTTGAAATGGAGACTTGCTCTTGTCACCCAGGCACAATCTTGGCTCACTGCAACCTCCACCTCCCAGGTTCAAGTGATTCTCCTGCCTCAACCTCCCGAGTAGCTGAGATTACAGGCACCCACCACCACACCTGGCTAATTTTTGTATTTTTTTTTTAGTAGAGATGGGGTTTTGCCATGTTGGCCGACTGTTCTTGATCTCCTGACCTCGTGATCTGCCCACCTCAGCCTCCCAAAGTGCTGGGATTACAGGTGTGAGCCACCACGCCTGCCCAGAGGTGGGCTTTGAATGGAAGTCATCTTCCTAGAGGCTGTGAGAGACATCTTCCATGCCAAAATGGAGAAATACCTGTGACCAAAAAAAGCAAGTACACAACGCACAGTTCTACCATCAGGAAGCATGCGCACAAAAAAATACAAAAAGGAAGACCTAGAATTATGTAATTTGTCTAGTGCAGTGTGGTTATGGTTTAATGGGGGCTAGTATAGATACATCATTTTATCTCCTGAATAACAGCATCATAAGAGATACAGATGTCAGTTTTTAAACCGCTAAAGGGCAGACTTTAAGAAGAAAACTTAGATGGTTAAATAATTTCAACTTTTGGTTCTCCTTAAGTCTTCAATGACGTGATTAAATCTTCACACAAGCTAGAAATAGAATCTTAACTTACCAAGGAGCAAAGTGTTTGACTTGTCATTGTTCTGATAACTGTATCTTTACCACTTCCTTGTTCAGTATCCTGTAATTCATGTTTGTCTTGCCAGGAGCAAACCAATTTGAGCTGTTAACTCTAGAAGATTTTGAGATGTGAGGGAAAGAGAGGGTGTGACTGCCTCTGGTGGTTTTTCTTTTTTTGTGGAGACAGTCTTGCTCTGTCCCCCAGGCTAGAGTGTAGTGGTGCGATCTCGGCTCACTGCAACCTCCGCCCTGGGTTTAAGTGATTCTTATGCCTCAGCCTCCTGAGTAGCTGGGATGACAGGCACCCACCAGCACACTTGGCTAATTTTTGTATTTTTGGTAGAGACAGGATTTCACCATGTAGGCCAGGCTGGTCTCAAAACTCCTGACCTCAAGCGATCCACCTGCCTTGGCCTCCCAAAGTGCTGGGATTACAGGCAAGAGTCACTGTGCCTGGCCATGGTGATTTTTCTTGAGTTGCAATAAATCACATTTTTGAGAAGTTCACAGATAATCTTTTTCTCAGACAGGTGGGTAAGATGGCTACTTTTTGGTGTGTCCTCACTAACTTCTGTCAATACTTTATTTTCAAAAAGAAAGTCTTCTTCTTGAAATTCTGTCATTTCTGACAACATGGATGAACCGGGAGGACCTTATGCTAAGTGAAATAAGCCAGTCACAGAGGGAAAAATACCGAATGCTCTCACTTATATGTGGAACCTAAGAAAGTCAAGTTCACAGAAGGGGAGAGTAGAATGGTGTCACAGGAGTGAAGGGGAGGATGAGAAGTGGGGAGATATTGGTCAAAGGGCACCAAGCTTCGGTTAGAATGAATTAATAATTCTGGAGATCTATTATTGCACAGCCTGGTGACTAGAATTAATAATAATGTATTGTATGTTTTAAAATTGCTAAAACAGTAGATTTTAAATGTTCTCATCACACAAAAAAAGAATATGTGAGGTGATAGATATTTTAATTACATTGATTTAATCATTTCACAATGTAAACATACATCAAAATATCTACAGCCAGGCATGGTGGCTCATGCCTGCAATCCCAGCACTGAGGAAGCCCAGGCAGGAGGATTGCATTAGCCCAGGAGTTTGAGACTAGTCTGGGCAACATAGGGCAACACAGGGAGACCGTTCCTCTGGAAACACACACACACACACACACACACACACACACACACACACACACACCCCTACACCTACAAGCCTCATAAATACAATTATTATTTTTTGAGAAGAAGTCTTGCCCTGTCACCCAGGCTGGAGTGCAGTGGTGTGATCTTGGCTCACTCCAACCTCTGCCTCCCAGTTTCAAGCAATTCTCCTTGCCTCAGCCTCCTGAGTAGCTGGGATTACAGGCCCTGCCAACATGCCCTGCTAATTTCTGTATTTTTTAGTAGAGACAGCATTTTGCCATGTTGTCCAGGCATGTCTTGAACTCCTGACCTCAGGTGATCTGCCCCTCTACCTACCACCCTGCCCCCCCCAGCCTCCGGAAGTGTTGAGAGGCATGAGCCATTGTCCCTGGCCTATAAACAATTATTATTTGTCAATTAAAAATAAAACTTTTTAAAGTTTCCTTTTTAGAAAAGAAAATTTCTGAGGTTTAACCCTATTAGTATTCACATATTCTTTTTTGTTGTTACTACCTTTTAAATTGACAGGAGAGTTTCTAAAAAGTAGTCCAAAAAGAGTGCCAGGTTTTAACTTTATCGAAAATTCATGTCTGATGTAAAAATCATTTCCCTGCTTTTTTGATTGATTGATTGATTGATAAACGGTCTCGCTCTGTCACCTAGGCTGGAGTGCAATAGCACATTCATAGCTCACTGTAACCTTGAACTCTTAGACTCAACCTTGAACTCCTCCTGTCTCAGTCTCTCGAGTAGCTGAGACTACAGGTGCACCACCACACCCAGCTAACTTTTATTTTTACTTTTGTAAAGATGGGGTCTTGCTATCTTTCTGAAGCTGGTCTTAAACTCCTGGCCTCATGTGATCCTCCCATCTCTGCCTCCCAAAGTGTTGGAATTACAAACACAAGCCACCATGCCCTGTCCTATTTTACTTTTCATATATAATTTATCTGAATCTATATGCCCATGCTAGGAATCTTATTTATTTATTTGTATTTGTATTTTTATCTTTATTTTTTGAGACAGCATCTTGATCTATTGCCCAGGCTGGAGTGCAGTGGTGCAATCATGGCTCACTGCATGTCTGCCTCGTGGGCTCAAGCAATCCTCCCACCTCAGCCTCCTGAGTGGCTGAAACTACAGGTGCATGCCACCACAGCCAGCTAATTTATATATTTTTAGTAGAGACTGTCTTTCCATGTTGCTCAGGTTGGTCTTGAACTCCTGAGCTCAAGTGATATAGCTGCCTTGGCCTCCCAAAGTGATAAGATAACAGGCATGAGCCACGGTGCCCAGTCTTTAATTTATTTTTATTTTATTTTTTGAGTGAGGGTCTCTCACTGTGTTGCCCAGGCTAAAGCACAGTGGTGCTATCATAGCTCACTGCAGACTTGGTCTCCCGAACTCAAGTGATTCTCCCACCTCAGCCTCCCAAGTAGCTGGGACTACAGGCACACACCATCATGCCCAGCTGATTTATTTATTTATTTGAGATTTGAGATTGAGTCTCACTCTGTTGCCCAGACTGGAGAGCAGTGGCACGATCTGAGCTCACTGCAGTCGCCACCTCCCAGGTTCTAGCAATTCTCCTGCCTCAGCCTCCCGGGTAGCTGGGATTACAGGCACGTGCCACCAGGCCTGGCTAATTTTTGTATTTTTAGCAGAGATGGGGTTTCACCGTGTTGCCCAGGCTGGTCTTGAACTCCTGACCTCATAATCCACCTGCGTTGGCCTCTGAAAGTGCTGGGATTACAAGCATTAGCCACCGTGCCCGGCCGTGATTTTTTAAATTTTAGTGGAGATGAGTCCTTGCTGTGTTGCCCAAGCTGCTCTCAAATTCCTGAGCTCAAGCAGTCCTCCTGCTTTGGTCTCCCAAAGTGCTGGGATTACAGGCTTGAGCCACTGCACCCGGCTCATGCCAGGTATCTTAGGTATACAGAAACTATACGATGTGTTGCAGAGTGTCCATGTGGTCATATTTGAATATAACAGAAATCATGCAATGAATTTCTCCCCTATTACTAGGTTTGATACTTGGGAAATATATTTCCTTAGAAATAAGTTAAAAGGCGTTTTTTCTGCCTCTTCCTTTCTTATGTGGAGAATGAAAATTTAATATCAGTTCATTTGTGCTCCAGGTTGAGGCTGAACTGTCTGGATGGCAAACACTGTGGTGTTGGGGGAGCCAAGGTGGCCTAGATCAGAGGAAAGCTGGGGGAAGAGCATGCTCATGGTGAGCTGGGGCCAAGGGGTGCTGTGGCCAAAACCAGGCTCTCCTGCACAACTCTTTAACTTGCCCTTTGCAAAGCTTGCATTTTCAAGTTTAAGCCGAGACCCAGTGGTTCCATCTAAATGTTCTTCTACTGGAAGGATGGTGCCCAGTGCACATTTGAAGGAGCTGAGGCTGGGCATGGAGGCTCATGCCTATAATCCCAGCACTTTGGAAGGCTGAGGCGCGTAGGTCACCTGAGGTCAGAAGTTCGAGACCAGCCTGGCCAACATGGAGAAACCTTGTCTCTATGAAAAATAGAAAAATTAGCTGAGCATGGTGGTGCATGCCTATAATCCCAGGTATTCTGGAGGCTGGGGCAAAAGAATTGCCTGGACCAGGAGATGGAGGTTGCAATGAGCCAAGATCTTGCCATTGCACTCCAGCCTGGGCAACAGAGTGAGTGTATGTCACAAAACAAAACAAAACAACAAAACAAAACAAAAAACAACAACAAAAAAGAGAAAGGAGCCGAAGGTGAGGTGCCTGGTTGGTTATTCTGAGTGTATACGGGTTTGCTCCAACATTTTCCTAGACTGGCATAGGGGCTGCCTTCTAGTTGACATGGCTGGTTACAGGATGGTGGGGGACAGGGAACTTGTTTAGAAGGTGCCTTTGAAAAAAAAAATTAGCCAGAACTGGGCATGGTAGCATGTGCCTGTAGTCCCAGCTACTTGAGAGGCTGAGGTGAAAGGATCCCTTGAGCCCAGGAGTTCAAGGCTGCAGTGAGCTATGATCATGCCACTGCACTCCCACCTGGGCAACAGAGTGAGACCCTGTCTCAACAAAACCCCAAAAAACGAAGAGAAAAAAAAGAAGAAAAAGAAGAAAGTGCTTTTGCATGGCAAAAGCAGTGGTTTACTTAGATGGTGTGTTCATTTGGGGTGCCTTGGGAGGAACGAGTAGGGATTATGAGGGAGCAGGGAGCCTAAAAACCCCAACCACCCTTGGCACCATCACGTAATGAGTCATGTACTTTATTACTATTTTTTCAATCATATCATACCAAAGTTTATTGATCACATCAAATGAAAATTTCTGTAATGAAAAGGCAAGTTGAAGTCATAAAAGATGGGGTTCACATTCATTTTAGAAAGCAACAACGTAGATGTAAAGAAATTGCTTAAGTGAAAAATGTAGTATTGCAGTTTCATTTTGCAAGCTGAAAAATGACTTTGTCAACACACATAAAATCTGCATATTTATATGCTGCGGGTTATTAGAAAAATCCACCCCTCAATTATTATGAATTTTACAAAGTTGGGCTTACAATTATACTGTTGCTGATGTATATATAGTGGATATGGAATGAATGTTTTCAGTTTAGTAGATAACATACTCAAACAATGAGTAGGTTGTGAAAATCACAAAGACATTTTGATAGCTCAAAATTATTCAAATTATAAATATATGATCCCATTATTACATTTTTTGAGTCATATACTTTTATAAAAAATTTTTATATGGCCCTGACACAGTGGCTCATACCTGTAATTCCAGCACTTTGGGAGGTCAAGACCAGCAGATCACCTGTGGTCAAGAGTTCTCTACTAAAAATACAAAAATTAGCTGGGATGGTGGCACGTGCCTACAGTCCTAGCTACTCGGGAGGCTGAGGCAGGAGAATCTCTTGAACCTGGGCGGCAAAGTTTCAATGAGCAGAGATTGTGTCACTGCACCCCAGCCTGGGCAACAAAAGTGAAACTCTGTCTCAAAAAAAAAAAAAAAGAAAAAGAAAAAAGAAAATGTTATATGATGTGTGTCCTATTATCTTCACTGCAAACACGCAAGATGGAGCTGATTATGCCCATTTTTAGATACAGAAATCAAGGCTTTGCACTAAGGTCACAGAGCCTCATGGTGGAGTCAGGACTTTTAATCCAGACGTGCCAGGCTCTGAAGCCCACCATCCTCAGCACTCCCAGTTCTAAGGCAGGCCTCCTCCTTTCCTTGTCCCACGAGTCGAGGTTCGCTGTGGAGCAACCAACTTTTTAGCATTCATTCTAGCACCTGGAAGGCTTTTCTTCTGGTGGTCAAACAGCCACATTTTCCAAGGAGTGCTGCATCTGTGATGACCAATGGCTCAGAGCAGCCTAGAGTGAGTGAGTGCTCGCGGCTCAGCGTTGACAGACTCACCCAGAGTAATGCACGTTGGTGATTTTTTCTCCAGGAGTTAGCTGTGCCGGTGGTTCATGACGGGGGCGCCCTCTTGGCTTTTGTCTGCGGTGTTGTATACACGGTCCTACAGTCTGTCATCTCTTATAAATCGTGTCCCCAGTGGAACAGTCTCTCGACGTGCCACATACGGATGGCCATCTCTGCTGTTTCTTGCGCGGCTGTCGTCCCCAGTATCCTTTTTCACGTTTGTGGCTTGTTAAAGGAATAAAGCATTCAATGACACATGTTAAAAAAAGATAATGAAGACTTCATAGGGACCACTGCAATGGGGTCTGACACTTGGGGAGAGAGATTGGGCTCAACTCTGAATACAGCATTGGCAAGTGCGAATTTATAGCCAAGGAGGAGGATGAGGATGAGGGGAATTTGGGCCAACCTAACAGGATTCTTGCTGAGTACTGGCCATGTGGTCAGACATCACCTGGGAAGGGTGGGGGAGGAGGAACCCAATCAGATACCAAGGGTGATCAGATATCAGGGTGTGGGGTCCTTGCTAAACTGACTTAGCCAGGGATCTTTGCTAAAACTGGATCTTACAAGGAAGTGCACAGATGGACCTCGGAGAAGTGTCAGGAGCTTGACTGAAGTTCGGCCAAGCAAAGAATCTTTGTCACAGCGTCTCAACAAAGCTTGACACTTCCCTTCCCCCCAGCCAAAAAAACAACAAAAAAAAACAAGATAACAACCAAGTTTCCACATTTTTCAGGAAAACAATTGGAATAAAAGTGTAGATCATTAAGAAAATGTCTCAGCATTGGTTAGATCAGAAGTCTCTTTGGGGGAAAGAATGGTGTGAAAGAAGGTGGGAAAAGGTAAGAACACTTCAGTCTGTTTGCTTTCCTTCTCACAGGGCCAGTTTCATGAACCATGTGAAAATATTTACTTTTCTTTGTAGTGCTTGGCTAAAGACACCAAATATTGATATTGTACTCAAAGGAATAGCCCCATGAAGTCCCTCAAGGCTCAACTCTCCCCCTCCCTGCACGTAGGTGGCAAGGCAGTTTGATTTACTCGTCCATGTGAAGAGATTTTTAAAAAGCTCTAGGTCACTTATTACTGAGTAAATTAAAATACATTTAGCCTTTTATTTTTAGTCACTAATTTCGTTTTCAAAATGAAATCCATTTTATTTTCTAACTCAGCCGTGTGAAAAGAAATGAAAATATAAATTTAGAATGCTTATAGATTCTGATTTAGAGGAAATGAAAGCTTTTTCTTTCTTTTCCTTTTTCTCTTCTTTAATGAAATATTTAACAAAGAAAAAAAAAGCTGTGGTCTTAAAGAGATGCAGAATTTCCCATCTTTCAAAATACCATCTATAGTCATATCAGAGAAAGCTGCAGGGTCATTAAAAAAATGATGACTAATGTCAGATTGTAGGAAAATGGGAACTATGTTAGCAGCAGCAGTTTTGTTCGTCTGGGTTGAATTATGGTATAAAGTGGGTGAAAACACATCACTTGCTTCTAAATATTAAGCTTTGTGTTTCTTTTCTAAAATAGAAACTACAAAATGTGAAGTCAAAGAATGATTTTGGTTTTTCTTCCATCTTAGGGAAGGACATTTTTAATTACAAAATTTCTAAGCACAGAGTAGCCGAATCCTAGAACCGAGACATTTACCACCAAAATATATACCCTTGTTCCTAAGAGATAGTTGCTTCTCAAATTCCTTGTTCTGCTTATAGATTAAAGGCACACTTTCTCTTTGAATATATCTCCTTCACATTTTTATCTTGTGTTAATTGTAAAATTTATGACAGTGGTTGTAGAATTACAAGTCGTTTCTTGATGCAGGAAACCTTTCCTTGCTTCCAACTTTGGAAACAGATCCCCAGATATCAAAGTCAGAGAGTTTTAGCAAAGTAAGTATTTCAGACCTCAGAGTTTCACTTACTAGTAATTCTCATTTCTAGGAAGTTCTTTTTTTTTTTTTTGAGATGAAGTTTTGCTCTTGTTGCCTAGGCTGGAGTGCAATGGCACGATCTCAGCTCACTGCAGCCTCCACCTCCCGGGTTCAAGCAATTCTCCTGCCTCAGGCTCCCAAGTAACAGGGATTACAGGCACCTGCCACCACGCCTGGCAAGTTTTGTATTTTTAGTAGAGACAGAGTTTCTCTATGTTGGCCAGGCTGCTCTCAAACTCCTGACCTCAAGTGATCCACTCGCCTTGGCATCCCAAAATGCTGAGATCACCGGTGTGAGCCACTGCACCTGTCCTCTAGGAAGTTCTTATTAGGAGCCACACCAATGGGAAGCAGCCCCAGACAGAGAGGGATTATGACCCAGATTAACTTGAATGAATTCATCTATATGAAAAGGTCTCCCGTCTTAAATGTTAGTGTGTTATTTATATTTCCTTACAAAGAATTGAAAGCATCTTTAAATAGGCCAGGCACGGTGGCTCATGCCTGTAATTCCAGCATTTTGGGAGGCTAAGGTGGGTGGATCACTTGAGGTTGGGAGTTCGAGACCAGCCTGGCCAACATGGTGAAACGCTCATCTGTACTAAAAATAGAAAAATTAGCTGGGCATGGTGGCAGGCACCTGCCACTGCACTGCAGCCTGGGTGAGAGAGCGAGACTCCACCTCAAAAATAAATAAATGAATGAATTAATTAATTAGAATATTAGAAAATTTAAAATTACACATAATATTTCTGTGGATGGTACTGCTCTGGAGAGCTCCTTAAGCTTCACAACTTAGCTTAAGTTTCACTGAATGAAGCTTTTTCCCATTCCATTCTGAATTAATAATTTTCCCTTGGAGTCATTGCTGTACCCAGTTCTTTTCTCTCTAGCATGGTACATTCCCTGGGTCTGGTCCAACAAAGTTGTGATGTCTCTGAGAGCCGAGACCAAGTTTTCCCTCCTTCCACCCTCTAGACCAGAATGGTACCTGGTGAACTGAAGATGGAACTAAGAACAAATAAACGAAAGAATTAAGAGGCTTTTAAACTATTAGAAACAGAAGCGTGGCAATGAAATGATCAAAGAATCTTCTGTGCTCTCTACTTTTATTTTGAGAGTCAGAAGTGTAAACTCTGCACAGTTTCACAGGGGGTACGGGTTAATAGAGGTGTCACTGACTGAATTCAGTGGAGGCTCTAAACTTTGCTTGGCTTAATTAACACTTTGAATTTCTAATATTTTGTAGACTTTTTAGAGCATACTATTTCTCTCTAGCTTTCTCTTTTGCATTCTAAGTTCAATCAAAATGGTTATCACTGCCTTTGTGCAGAAAGTATTGCCCGTGGAGGAGAGGAGCCTCAGCCCTTGGCATTATTAGGCTGGACTGTAGGGGTTTGTCATTCATCCCTGAAGCCTGATACAGGCTTTGATTTGCCAGCTCTTAGGCCAGGAAGGAAGGGCTCACCTTATACCCAATCACCCAACAAAAACCTGTTTTTAAAGATAATAGTTTGAGTTTCTGCAGCTTGTTTTTGTATACGAGCCCTGGCACTTTGGAATTTTCCATTTTTCTTTAAAGCTGTTACCTTGAAAATAGTATTTTAGATCAGGCATGGTGGCCTACCCCTGTAATTCCAGGACTTTGGGAGGCTGAGGCAGTGGGTCACCAGAGGTCAGGAGTTCAAGACCAGCCTGACCACCATGGTGAAACCATGTCTGTACTAAAAATACAAAAATTAGCCAGGCATGGTGGTGGGCACCTGTAATCCCAACTACTAGGGAGGCTGAGGCAGGACCTCTTGAACGCAGGAGGCAGAGGTTGCAGTGAGCTGAGATCACACAATTGCACTCCAGCCAGTGTGACAGAGCAAGACACCATCTCAAAAAAAAAAAAAAAAAGAAAATAGTATTTTAGGGTGGGAAGTACTCAAAACAAACCATCTTGGACTGCTACATTAGTCATTTTGACCAAATTCCAAATTGTGGAATTATTTTCAAAATTTTAACTAGCTGTTTAGCTAAGTTAAAGTGGGAAAATCCAGAAACATGCCAGCTTGTACAAAATGTAGCCGCAAATTTTAATAAATTTTGCTATACAAACTGAAAAAGTATTGCAAAGGTATTTCCATGTTGTAATTTAACTATCATAATTGAATTTAAAATTTGAGTTTATAAGAACCTAATGTAACAGGTTTGACTGTAGAAATGTTAGTATTAACATTTTAACACTGTATAATGAGTTTATCGTTAGGAGAATAATCTAGTTTTAACATTAAAGGAACTGTTTTCTGCTGTAGTTTTCTTAACCTTTTTTAGTGATTGCCTGTGCTTCATTGATTTCCATAACCAAGCTGGAGTGGAATCCAAGAGAAAAGGTAACATTTAAGTTGTTCTGAATGTGGCTGTTGGATGTGGTTGTATGAGATTGTGGCCAGGCTAGGCCTAGGGAAGATCACTGCCGTTTTTTAGAACAAGGTGCAAAATGTGAAGTAAACATAGTATGTAATCAATTTACTGCCCAATCATTCAGTAGTGTGTATGTAGTAATTACCTAGCAGAGTAATTCCAAATGCTTCCTGGAATTATTTTCAAAATTTTAAGTTGCTAATTTCTTTCCTTTTCTTTTTGAGACAGTCTTGCTCTGTTGCCCAGGCTGGAGTGCAGGGTGCAATCTTGGCTCACTGCAACCTCTGCCTCCCAGGCTTAAGTGATTCTCCTGCCTCAGCCTCCCAAGCAGCTGGGACTACAGGCGCCCACCACCATGCACAGCTAATTTTTTTTTTTTTTTTTGAGACAGAGTCTTGCTGTGTCACCCAGACTGGAGTGAAGTGGTGTGATCTCAGCTCACTGCAACATTTGCATCCTGGGTTCAAGCGATTCTCGAGCCTCAGCCTCCTGAGTAGCTGGGACCATAGGAGTGCGCCACTATGCCTGTCTAATTTAATTTTTTGTATTTTTAGTAGAGATGAGGTTTTTTAGCGTGTTGGCCAGGCTGGTCTGGAGCTCCTGGCCTCAAGTGATCCCCCCACCTCGGCCTCCCAAAGTGCTGGGATTATAGGCGTGAGCCACTGCAACTGGCCCTCTAATTTCTTTCTGAAACATTTCAACTATCTATGCTTAGTAAAAGAGGGTAGAGGGACAGTGTGAATGAGGGTGTTTGGTGGCCAAAGGAAGCGTGGAATGTTAAGTAGAGAGGACAACACCAGCTCCAGTGTGGTGGATAGTTCATTGCAGGATAGAGTGAGAAATCAATGCAGTCAGGGGTAACTGTGCAAGGGAGTAGTGGCTGTAAGAGGCAGGAGAGAGGCTGATACTTGACATAAATGACCAGAGTAAGACTTTGAAGACTTTTGAACAGTTAAGCAAATGGAAAGAGTATTATTAGATAAGTGTTAGGCAGAAGCAATGCCTGTGATGGTTTGGAGAGCTTGGCATTCGGAGGGCCAGGAGAAGGCAATTCTACTAGTTTGCATTTCAAATAGGGGAAATCTGATAGGTTTTGGCAAATGACTAACACGAGAATGAAGTGGCACGATGAATCAACGATGACTTCGAGGATTTTATCTTAGGTGAACCAAAGAATTTATTCCCTTGACCAGAAATAAGGTCCCTAACAGGGATAAATAATTTAGTAGGTGGAAGTGGATGAGTTTGGTTAGAATTGATGACTCTGCAGGTATCATGAGATATCAAGGTGAGAAACGTGGGCCTTGGCCAGGCGCTGTGGCTTACGCCTGTAATCCCAGCACTTTGGGAGGCTGAGGCAGGAGGATTGCTTGAGTCCAGGAGATCAAGACCAGTCAGGGTAACACAGTAAGATCCTGTCTCTACAAAAATTAGCCAGCATATGGCATGCGCCTGTAGTCCCAGCTACTTGGGAAGCTGAGGTGGAAGGATCACTTGTACCCAGGTGGGCCTAGACTTCTGGTGGGACTGAGTCATCAGAGGGTAAGGCAGAGTTGTCAGAGTGTAGGGTAGTCCAGTAATATTTAGACCAAGCATCAGAACACATGGATCCAAATGTTTGGCATTGAGATCCACTCATCGTATTAGATGCGTGAAGTAGTGGTTCATCTAGATACCTTATAGGAGAATCAAGGATGCCTTAGGAAAGAAGAGTTAGTGAGAGACCAGAAGGGGATTCTTTTCCCCAAGGAGCAGGTGAAAGAATACCTGCAGCAAAAAAGAAGTAAAGGGGACATGGATCAGAGAGAAGAGCCAGACTTGTGCTGGATGGCAGACCTCATTGAGTGAGTCCCTCCCATACGCAAGACTGGGAGATTGCAGAGGGAAGGATGGTCATGGGATAGAGGATCCGGAGGAATTTTACAGTTCAGAGGGGCAACAGTTGTCAATGGCTAAATGTAATACTTTGAAGAATAAAAACATGCTGAACTGGACTTCAGACAGCACATGTGGAAATGCAGAAGCAATGGCAATTAATTCTAATGATGGAATGAGAGGAGATATGGTACCAGAGACTAAGGAAAGGACATTTTTCTTTTCTTTTCTTTTCTTCTTTTTTTTTTTTGAGACAGAGTCTTACTCTGTCACCCAGGCTGAGTATAGTGGTGCATTCTCAGCTCACTGCAACCTCCGCCTCCTGGGTTCAAGCCATTCTCCTGCCTCAGTTTCTGGAGTAGCTGGGACTGCGGGTACATGCCACCATGCCTGGCTAATTTTCTGTATTTCTGGTAGAGATGGGGTTTCACCATTTTGGCCAGGCTGGTCTCAAACTTCTGACCTTGTGATCCACCTTCCTCAGCCTCCCAAAGTGCTGGGATTACAGGTGTGAGCCACCGCCCCCGGCCAGGAAGGACATTTTTCAAGGGAAAGGGAAATGGCTAACCATGGGATATGTGGCTGAACAGCCTTTAGGAATGAAGTCCCTCAATTTGGGCAATAGGGGAATGAGTGATGTTTTTTGAAAAGTAGTTTCAGTAAAACACTGAGGTTAGAAGCCAATGGTAAGAAGTTAAATAGTGAGAGGAATGGTTCATTCACTCAGCTGTCAACCAAATGTTTATTGAGTCCTGTTCTGGAAGTGAGAGGAAAAGGGGAAACACCATGGTGGCTAGAGGAGACAGCGGGGTGAAAGCAAGGATTTCCCAGGACGGAGAACTCTGGCAGGTGATGGAAGCCTGCCGAGACAAGAGAGAGGCAAAAGCTGGTGAGGAAGAGAATGATCCAAACAGGAGTTCAAAAAGCCCTTCTTAGCCAGGCATGGTGGCTCACGCCTGTCATCCTAGCACTTTAGGAGGCCGAGGTTAGGTTCAAGACTAGCCTGGCCAATATGATGAAACCCGTCTCTACTAAAAAAAAAAAAAAAAAAAAGGACAGGTATGGTGGCACACACCTGTAATCTCAGCTACCCGGGAGGCTGAGGCAGGAGAATCGCTTGAACCTGGGAGTCAGAGGTTGAAGCGAACCGAGATCACGTCACTGCTCTCCAGCCTGGGTAACAAGAGGGAGACAACGTCTCAAAAAAAAAAAGTGCTTCTTTAAAGTGAAACATTAAAATGGTCAAATTAGTCTAGACCTAGGCTTTCCCCTAACGTGTGGGGAATAAGCTCTATACTGTAAAGAGGGTTCAGTTCTTCTTTCCATTGGTGAGAACCTCTTTCCGAAAGCAGGACCGCATAGCAGAGTAGCTCAGGTGTACTTTACTTTTCAGCCACTTGGGGGAGACCTCCTACCACAAACCCGCTGCTGGGTAGGGCTCATCGAAGTATACTCCCAGGCAGTTAAAAATCTGTTATATTCCACTTTCTACCTTAAAAATGTGAAAAGTCCATGGTTTTCTATTCACCCCATAAATAACTGTGCCATTCTTGTATTTCCTTCTGTTCCTAATATCGAAGGATGTAAAACAAATCCCTTTACATTAATTCACTGAATAATCATTTAGGACTGCCCCAAACTTCTGTGTAGTGCTTTACAGATTTCGAAGCACATTTATTTGCAGTGATTTACTTGGTAGGGAGGGTAAGAATTTTAATGTCACTGTCTCGTTTCACATAGCAAAGATATTAGGGCTTTGCCTGCATTCAGACTCTTGGTTCAATGTACTTTCATTAATATGCATAAGAAAGTCCCCCCCAAATTCTGCCTCTGTTTTTAGAAGCCATCTTCTTTGTTCAGGGATGATATGGGTTAGGGCAGGTCCCCTGGTGCTGGCACCAACAGGAGGGAGCCTCTGTTCTCCACCTCCTAATGGGAGCTGGTCAGGTTCTTCTCAGTGTGACCCAGTATGAGAACAGTGGGTGGAGATGACCATAACAGGCAGTGAAGAGTGGTGCTCTGCAGGCCTGGTGTGCCTCCAGTAGATCTGCCTGGATGGACACAGGATCAAAGAAAACAGCTGTCACCATAGAATTGCCCTGTGCAGCCTGACCAACATAGCAAAACCCTACTAAAAATACAAAAATTAGCCAGGTGTGGTTGGGCGCCTGCAATCCCAGCTACTCAGGAGGCTGAGGCAGGAGAATCGCTTGAACCTAGGAGGCAGAGGTTGCAGTGAGCCGAGGTCATGCCATTGCACTCCAGCCTGGGTGACAGAGCGAGACTCTGCCTCAAAAAAAAAAAAAAAGAAGAACTGCCCTGTGATCCAGCACGTTTCCTCACCCTTGTTGCCTGTAGCAGAGCAGAAAGTGAAGCAGGAAATCACACAGGCACACTGACAGTCCCCAGGCCTCATTTGCATGTCAGCTAACGTCAGAATGCAGATGTGCATTTTTGACTTAGAGTTTTATTTATTTTTATTTTATTATTACTATTATTTTTGAGACAGAGTCTTGCTCTGTCACCCAGGCTGGAGTAAATGACACGATCATGGTTCACTGCAACGTCTACCCTCTGGGCTCAAGTAATCTTCCCACTTCATCTTCCCAAGTAGCTGGGGCTGCAGGTGCAGGCCGCCATGCCCAGCTAATTCTTTCTTGCCCTGTTATGTTGCACAGTCTGATCTCCAACTCCTGGGCTCAAGTGATCCTCCTGCCTCAGCCTTCCAAAGTGCTAATGTTACAGGTGTGAGCCACTGTACCTGGCAACAGAGTTTTAAAATTAGTTTCTAGCACTGAAAAATCAGGAGATATCACACACATACCCAGACACATAGACAGACGGACAACACACACACACACACACACACACACACACACACACATACATGGTTTTTTTTTCAAACCTCTCTGAAAGCAACACTAGTGTACTATTTTCCCATGGAATTGAGCTGATGAGGTGTGGGCCCCCTAAATTTCTCTCTCTTTTCACAACCATTAATTTTATTTATTATTATTAATTTTCTGGCCTCCATATGCAGCTGAGTTTGGAACTTCTGATTGAAGCCGTTCTCCTTGGCCTCCATTCTCTCATTCTTTTTTTTTTAGAGATGAGGTTTCACCATGTTGGTCAGGTTGGTCTCGAACTCCTGACCTAGTGATCCACCCACCTTGGTCTTACAAAGTGCTGGGATTACAGGCCTCCATTCTCTCATTCTTGCCTCCATGAAGATATACAGTTAACATGTGGATGTTCGTTACTAGAATCTTCTCGGTAGCTGGATTTAGGAGGTTAAGCAGAACTATTTTCTGAATGAATATTTCTATATAAATAGGGAAAACACGAAACCTAGGGGAGCTAGTCGGCCAGGTTGTCTAGATGGTAACACGCATTCTTTGGAACACCTGCAAGAGTACTTTTTTTTTTTTTTTAAAGATGGGGTTTCACCGTGATGGCCAGGCTGGTCTTGAACTCCTGTCCTCAGGTGATCCACCCACCTCAGTCTCCCAAAGTGCTAGGATTACAGGCATGAGCCACTGCGCTGGGCGTTTTTTTTTTTTTTAAAGATGGGGGCGAGAGCTCTTGTTAAGCGTGCCCTTACAGTTAGGGATTCCCAGCAAAGGGATACCAAGTCATGCCTTGTATGGAAAGTTCTTTCTTCTATTGAGTCCAAATTTGCTTCCCAGCCTCAACCATTTGGTAGTCCTTAGTCTACCTTTTGAAGTGATAAACTCAATCTTAAAACGAGAGTTTGTGGAAGCCAGAAAGAACTTTGGAATACCTGCCTTTGCATTCTCAGTGGGCAGGTGCCCTGACACTTAGTAATGTGGTTGTGATTACCGTATATCCTGAAAGTTCTGACTTATGCTCACTGGACAGCTTTTTCCTTTGGTCGAACCTCTTTGGAGTTATTTCAGTATGTACATTAAAGTGAATCTTTTGAGGCTAAATTCTGTTTCTTTATTATTGCTATTAGGATTACATATATCATGTAGTGAGTGCGATCTGTGAATGGACAGTGGCCTTTGGTTTTATTTTCTACTTCCTAACGTTCATCCAAGATTTCCAGGTAGGTGTTTATCAATTCAAATGTTTTAAATTGCTGACAATTAGGATTAGTAAAAATTCACTGAAGACATTTTGCGTTTTTAAAAAGAGCACTTTCTTTTTATTCTTAATGTGTTTGACAAAAATATGTAAGGATTGTGCAGCTTCATTCATTAGCTTCTCCCCAACAGGAGGCATCTTTAACAGCTCTCCCCCCAATGAGATTTTCATATGTCCTCTGCTGTTTGATGTTATCATATCCCGATTCCTTTCGTTCCTTTTCCTTTTCTCCCCTCCCCTCCCCTTCCCTTCCCTTTCTTTCCTTCTTTTTTGAGATGGAGCCTTGCTTTGTTGCCCAGGATGGAGTACAATAGCGGGGTCTTGGCTCACTGCAACCTCCACCTCCTGGGTTCAAGTGATTCTCCTGCCTCAGCCTCCCGTGTAAGTGGGATTGTAGGCACCTGCCACCACGCCTGGCTAACTTTTTGTGTTTTCAGTAGAGATGGGGTTTTATTATGTTGGCCAGGCTGGTCTTGAACTCCTGACCTCGTGATCTGCCTGCCTCGGCTTCCCAAAGCACTGGGATTACAGGTGTGAGCCACCGCCTTCAGCAATCCTGGTTGTTTTCTTTTAGGGGGTCTCTATTACTAGTTCCAAATAATAGAAAGTAAATATATCTTTTAAAAAATAAAAGTGTGTTGTTTAAAAATGTTCCCAAAGCAGAGAGAAGGTGGGACTATATCAGATTTGTCCACAGGAAAAATCTTACATTTTGAAACAAGTGAATTATTAACTCAAAGGATATGGAAAGCCAAGAAAATTCCTTAGGACCTGACTCAAGCATAGCACAAACTGTAGTGAGATCATTTCTGAGGTGGTGCAAAGCTCTTGGAAATGTGATTGTCAATGTTGATATCATCGTCAAATGTTGGGATTAGCTTCTCTTATACTTTTTTCTTTTCATTTTAAAAATAGAGTGTCACCCTAAGGATATCCACAGAAATCAATGGTGACATTTGAAGAAAGAAGAATTGGATCTCACTGAGTGAAGGTTGCAGGCCATTTCTAGAAGCGCTACAGAGGACAGACTGGGTTTTGATGCCGCCCTGATTATTGGGATGCGTCTGCGGCACATCCAGGACTTGAATTTCGTTAAGGATTTCTAATAGTTGTACTATTTCTAAAGATATGTTTTCCTAGATAATGTAGAGCCTTATGACATTGAAGTGATGTTTTTATAATTTTCTAAGTAGACTTTTTTATATTAACAAATTCCTATACGGAAAAGACAAGGTGTTACAAAAAATGGAGAGCTCTTATTTTTGTACAGATTCTGTTGTTTTTTTATTTGTGTGTGATTTATGAAATACACTAAATGAGTAATTTAGGTTCATTACATTTATTACAAAGTGAATTGGGATATTCATTTGTAAATTTCATTCTTAGTGAGTGAACTGTATAATTTTTTATCATGAGAGCATATATAAAATTCAATTTATAACAATTGTATACCCAAATCATAAAGATTTAGTTAATATATTAACACTAAGATACTCTGATTTTTAGCTAAGCAAAGTGCTTCTACGGAGAGGCCTTCATACCATCATGTACAGTAGCTCTAAGTGAATACAGAAGACCTTGGTTTTGAAGTTCTGCCACCTTATCTCTCCCTGCTCATGAGGCCGCATCTTTTGCTCCTGCTGCTAATTGGCCATTTATAGTGGGTGTAATTCCAGGTGTAATGGTTTCAGCAACTCAGGTGAGAACCATCCTCTATTGTTACTGGCACAACTTGATATATAGTCTGACCCAGAACTGAAACTCACATCTCAAATTCATTTCATGCCAGTAAATGTGGCAAAGAGAACAAAGGCCCAAGAGCGAGAAGGGGGCGGCCAAGAAGAACTTCTGGGTGCCGGGTGCTGTTTATTCCCTCCTCCTTTTCATGCCTGTGGCTGGATGTCCCACAACACTGTAGGAAATGTGTCAGGCCCTTTGCATTAAGCAAGAACTACAGACTCCACCTTTTCACCCAAATCATGAATAACCAATGAAAAGCAAGTTATTCCAGAGGAAGAAGCAGCCCTTGAAATGTTAAGGCTTAGGCTTGAAATCTGAAGAGTAGGAATTCTCTCTTCAAAGACCCTAGAGCAGGCCGGGCGTGGTGGCTCACGCCTGTAATCCAAGCACTTTGGAGGCCAAGGTGGGCGGATCACCTGAGGTCGGTAGTTCAAGACCAGCCTGACCAACATGGTGAAACCCTGTCTTTATAAAAAAAAAACAAACAAAAAAAAACCCACCCTAGAGCATAAGTGTGGTCAAGTGGGATCAGCCCTCAAGGGCACATGTCAAGAGCAGAGCAGCCCATGGAGACAGCTTCGGAGGGCATGGCATTGTAGGGAGTTAGGGATAGCTCCTCATTAACTATTTGTTGGGTGAGTATAGGGGTGAGGCTCAGTGGCAGTCAGGCACCTCTGCAGTGACAAGCTGCCTTCCCTCTATGTGTGTAGCACATGTTGTTAGAACATGTCCCACACCCCTACCACTGCCATTTGGGCCCTATAAGGCCAAGTAGAGAAATCTGGCAATAAAAGGCAAATGTAAGCATGCTTTCTTTAAGATACAGCAAAAATGATTTTCTTTAAGTGAATGGAAGAGTTTGACAGAGAAACACCTTTGTAAGCAAACATTAAGAATGCTGGCTGGAACCTATAAAAGAAGCATAAAAAGTGAGTTAAAAAAACAAAAAAACAAACAAAAATGAATGCCGGCTGAGTGTGGTGACTCACATCTGTAATCCCAGCACTTCGGGAGTTCTAGGCAGGCGGATCGCTTGAGCCTGGGACTTTGAGACCAGAGTGGGAAACATGGTGAAATCCCATCTCTACAAAAAAAAACCAAAAAAACAAAAATTAGCCAGTTGTGGTGGCATGTGCCTGTAGTCCCAGTTACTTGAAAGGCTGAATTGGGAGAATCACCTGAGCCCAGGAGGTTGAGGCTGCAGTGAGCCATGCCACTGTCCTCTAGTTTGGGCAACAGAGCAAGACCCTGTCTCAAAAATAAATAAATAAACAAATAAAAAATAAATAAAAATAATGCTAATCATTTCTGGGTTCACTGTGACTCATTGTAATGCTGGAGATCCCCCTTGCAACACTGGAACTGAAAGTGATGAAAGCTGTGTCAAGCCTTCGTTATCCTGACTAGGAGGAGAAATGCCACATGCCTTTCCTATGGGACCCGCCGTGGAATGAACACATGGTCGTGCCTTACTTCAGACTGACTTTTGTTCTCAGCACTTCTCACAATGGATTTTCATGCTTCATTTTCACATCTCTCTGCAGTTAGATTGGAGCTCCTTGAGGGCAGAGCATGTGCCTTAATCTTTATCTTCGTAATGCCCGCAATTAACACAGTGCCTCCTGGTACACTGCAGGTGCTTAAGAAATACTCACTGAATGCATGAATGAATGAATGAACAAATGAAGGAATGACTAAGGATGTTTGTAGTGCTATAATATATAATGGGATTTGCACTGGTTTACTAGTTAGTTTCATAATAAACAAATGGTCTGTATCACCTGGTAGTGTTGACTGTTTTCCTTTGTATGCTGTAAACATTTCAGTTGTTTGGGCATCACCAATCCATGACAACTATCTCCAACCTGGACAGATACCACAGAAGTTGTTACATGGGATAGACCAAATGGTACACCTGTCTTGGCAAACTGAGAAGGTCAAAAATCACTCCAGACAATCATATTCAGCTGATTCCATTCCACCTCTAAAGCTGGTCTTATCCACATTTTGGCATTATTTCTAATTCCAATGAACTTGCATTTCCTTGGAACCCATGCCTGAAAGGGTAAAATGAAATACTTCCTTATTTTAGTAATTTGTTTTTCTGTTAAATTATAAAATGTCGCCTGGCTACTACTATGAAGTAGACTATCTAGGAGATGGTTCCAGATCCATTTGGACCTTATAAAGGTATGATTATGATTTAAACCTTATGCTTTCATAATTCTTTTTTTTTTTTTTTTTTTTAATAAAGATGGATTTCACCATGATGGCCAGTCTGGTCTTGAACTCCTGACCTCAGGTGATCCACCCACCTCAGCCTCCCAAAGTGCTAGGATTACAGGTGTGAGCCACCACGCCCAGCTATGCTTTCATAATTCATGTAGTCTTCCATGTGGGTGTGATTGGTTCGACTTTGTAGATGCTCAAACATCAGCATCAGAAGTTTGTGTCAGTCAAGATTCAGAGTTGAGGAGATCAGAAATCCAACAAGAAGGGAAAAAGGGAATCTATATTGCTTCAAGTAACAGGCATTTAGGAGTGGAACTGGCTTTATGGATGGCTGGATCTAAATGTGCCATTAGGAACTCCATCTTCTCTTTCCTCCTCTCAGCTGGCTTCATTCTCAGGCAGGCTTTCCCCTGGTGGAAGTGAGAGGGCATCCAGAACCTCCAGACTCACAACTTATCCAGAAAAAGAGGTGGAAAGAAAGGACCTCTCAACAGTTCCAACCACAAGCCCATGAATTGTCTCCGATTGGCTGGCTTGGATCACATGCCATGGGGAGGTCTGAGGCTCTGATTGGTCAGACCCGAGTCACCTGTCCACCCCTGGAGCAGGAAGGGGTCAACACCACCCAAACTACTGGGCTGATGGTGGCTGAAAGCTGTTTCTCAGAAGAAAGGGGTGGAAGTGGGTCTCTCCCAGACAAAAGCAGCAGATTCCACTGTGCAATTAAAACCTCTTTCCCTTCATATCCCTACCCGCCCCAAAGCTAACCTAACTTGCTTCACAGTAAACCAAAGTATACTTGCCAATGACCTTTTGGGATTTGAAAGTAAATAAGCCATTTAGGTAATACAGAAACCTTGTGTTAATTCCAAAGTTATGTTTGTATTTTTTAAAGTTCTTGTTTTCTTATTTAGTTTCTCTTATTTAGAATCAGTTTTCCTGATTCCTAATCAAGTGGGCCTTTTTTTTTTTTTTAAACACTAACACAGAGGATTCCACAGAAATTGCATTTTATAAGCCAAATTAAGTGTATCAGTGTTGTGCTGTGTCTGGGTTTCCTAACATCCCTTACATGTGGCATTGTCCCATGTTCACATTTTTACTCAGTTGGAGACATACTCGTCTGGTGTTTGGACCTGGAATGAGGAAAGGGGAGTGGGAGGAAGATAAGTGGTATCCCATTCTCTCCCACTGCCTGATTCTGGCAAGCCAGTAGGCCTGGCCGCCTCCCCACACACATACTCTTGGTCTGGCTCCGGATGCCCTGCATTCTCCAGTCCAGAATGTCATGCATCTGCATCATGTCTGTTGCACAAGAGAGCAACCGCAGCCTCAAGCCCTAGAGGAGAAGCTTCTGACTCTGCTTGGTCACTCCCAACAGATTTACATTCTTTTTTTTTTTTTGAGACCGAGTCTTGCTTTTGTCACCCAGGCTAGAGTGCAATGGCACGATCTCGGCTCACTGCAACCTCCACCTCCCGGGTTCTCATGAGTCTCCTGCCTCAGCCTCCCGAGTAGCTGGGATTACAGGTGCCCACCACCACACTCGGCTAATTTTTGTATTTTTACTAGAGATGGGTTTCACCATATTGGCCAGGCTGGTCTTGAACTCCTGACCTCAGGTGATCCGCCCACCTTGGCTTCCCAAAGTGTTGGGATTACAGGCGTAAGCCACTGCACCTAGCCCCAGATTCATCTTCTAAAACAAAGGGTAGCAGGATCCCAGATTCATATTGGTGGTGGCAGTGACCTCCAGAGTCCATGCTTGGAAAATGGTGAAGAAAATGCCAACAATCTGCCAGGTGGTTTAAGACAGGGTGGCGTGGGGTGCCTGGAAAGCCTGCGATTTAGGCAGTTCCTCAGCAGTGAGTACTGCTCTGTGCCCCGCCATCTTCAAGGCCAGTTCCACCTCTGGATGTCTCCGTTACATGAGCTGATGAAAGTCTCTAACTTCAATAAACTGGAGTTAATATTTCAGATGATTGTACCTGTAAGAGTCCTGACTGATAACAGACACCCAAGAGTTCCCCTAACATGAAAATACAGTAAACTACCATCATCAGAGTCATTTTTATTTCATTTTTTTCTTTTGCTTTCTTTTTTTCAGTACAGACTTACCTTCACACGAAAGATCATTTTTACATAAGTGAATTCAGCTGCCCCCACTCACAACCTTCAACCTCTGAACCATTTGTTTTTATTTTATTTTAAAAAATTTGAGTAACATTTTCACAATTAGAAACTCAAAACAATATGTAAAGGTATACAGTGAAAAGCCTTTTTGCTTTTCTCTACCTGCATTTACTCGATTCACTCTCTCATTGCAGATATCCACTTTTTTTTTTTTTAATAGAGATGGGGTGTCCCCATGTTGGCCAGGCTGGTCTC